ACATTTTATTATAAACTATAAAAACATAAAATAGCAGCATGTAACATCGCGAAGGAACGCTGAGTACAGCTATCTAGGTTATACGTTATTCAGTGCTGTACTGGGAAATCCCAAACAGGAAACTCAACTAGGTGATGGGGAATTTCAAAAGACAGAACTTTTCAAATATTATCCAGAAAATTTTCGTACTTTTTAGCCTCCAGAGGTTGATTTCTTCCATCTTCAGACACAATTTTAGGAAAATTTTACACTTTACCGTACCGGAGTAATCACTGAATACATACGCCATCAAAACACTCTAATAAAAGAACGGAAAAACCGTCAGAACACACGCCATCATATACTTGCGGTACGGTAAAGTGTAAAGTACCCAATTTTAGATACATTCCATCTTGAAAGATTGAATATTAGACCATATCAAATTCGATATAAAATTTGAAAACGTTAGGTGAAAACAGTGTGCTTACTGTGTTCCTTTCTAGATCGGCAAAATGCAAGCACAGAATCCTACACCAAATATTAAAGGAAACGTAAGTGTGAGATAATATCTACTTTGTTCGTTGGATCAGTTTTGTGCAAAGCAACGTGCAGCCCTTTCATCGTAGACAAAAATGTGCCCTCTATATTTTACATTCGGTATAGCAGTTCGATGACATTTTGTTCTCAAAATGACAATTTGAAGACGCATGTTAATAGCTAATCGATTATTTGAACCCCTATACGACTGTTCGCTGCTTCGCCGTGAACTAACTTCACCTCATGTCGTTCTTGATTTCAAGCATCAATCAATGTGCCGGTTCCATTGACTTCCGGTTGTCAAAAACGTGTTGTCTAAAACGTCCCTTGCTGGAACTGTCTGAAGGTTAATTGTGATATTTTCGTTTCAGATATCTTTACAAAGCGGAGTTCCACCTCCTGAAGAAAGTCCGACCATCTTTGTAAGTTTGTATATTATTCATTGCTCATATGAAAATGTTTTTACGTTGCCAGCCGAGTATAGGTTTCGGCGCGCATTTTTGATGGATAGTGAATAGTGGATCGTCGTCGATAGCCACACAATAGATTATTAATGAGCTGCCAAATTTCAGCCATGAATAACCGTACGTTTTGAGGAAAATTCAAGAATTTTACTAAAAAAAAGCCAAAGCTGCTGTTTATTTTAGCCTGCATCGTGAATGTGTTTCGCGTTCCTTTAAAACTGTTTTTACAACATTGTGGATTGAACGACAAGAATAGTGAATTTGGAAATGTATTAATACCAAATCAATCCTGTTAAGCGGCAAAATGACATCTTATAGTTTATAGTCCGGCAAAGACAGAAATACAAAGACAACGATGCACAGTTGTATGAAATAATATAACATCTCGAGCATGATATTTTAATGCGATATAAACTGGAACGGTTGTGCCAGCACAGATAGTGACAATATGGAGGTTAAGATACCGGGTACGGTTCACGGGTACGAGTATCGCCATTTTGTTTACCAATTTTTGCTGATGTCTGCATTTTTACCCGTAATTTCTACCCGTTTCCCGCGGTAAACCATAGTCTACACCTAAAAGACAAACGAGTACGGGTGATTTCTATTTACTATTTGTGGACCGTTTAACATCTTAAAATAATGAACATATGCTCGTCAAAGTTTTCAACAATCTATGGCGAACCTCAGCAGCGAAAGTTACGATTCTCTGATAGGTTTTCTCACGCCGGAATACCCTGGATTTCCAGTCGTCTCACAATTTACGAGTACTGGTACGCGTGTATCACCCGTACCCGTAAACTGGAACCGGGGTATCTTAACCTCTCTAATAACACCAGAATGCTGTGGATTGCGAGGGATTCAACTATACCTGAAAAATACAAGTAAAACTTCGACGTTTCAAACAAAGGCCCTTCGTGGGGAAGTTACTGAACCAGTGGTGAAGGAGCAGTATAGCTAACCGTATCTGCTAACTATTCTTTTATAAGAACAAAGTAAAGATTTTATACAACAAGGGACAGGTGACAACTCTTCAAGTGACACTATATAATATAACCCCAGTTAGTTAATGCTCTTTTGAGCGCCTTGTGATTACTTACAATCGTATAACAAAGACCAAACGTTCACTGATATCTCATATGTGTGCGAATGACGTCAGTATATGGGCGTTACTTTGGTTGTTTTGCTTTATTTAAGCCCACGGACAGACCAGCAAGTTTTCCTGGACAGGTTTCCGTGACAAGTTTTGTTGCCGTGTGCACGGGCTATATATTGTTAAACATTTATCTAACGTCAATGTGGAAGTGTTTCTTGTACACTTGTCAAGTTTTATACACAGTCCAAAAGCTGACATGACTGGCTTTGGATCAAGACTCCTTGGCAAAAAAGATTGCCAAGTTTTTGCCGTACACACGAGCAAATATAATTTGTAAAGGGAAGGTTGCCAAGAAAAACGTGTTCGTTTGCATGTACGGTGTTTCAAAGGTGGCGAGCGCCCACCACAGAAATAATAGATATATCTATTATTTCTATGGCGCCCACTCGCTTACCTTAAAATTACTCCCGCTCGCCTTTTTGAGATCCTTCATAACTCCAGGATATAAAAACCCCTTTAAGTGGGAGACTTGGTGCAAGTCTAGCCAGGCCTAATACGTCAATATTCAAGTAACATATTGATCTCCAGATCATGTATCCAGGTAACACAGGATTTTTTTCCTTTTCAGCTCGACTTCAAGATCAGTGCGTATGCTGCGTCGGGTTTGAAAGTCAGTAGACTTGATATCTATGGAGAGGTGAGGAAACGTACATGTTTCAATCCATTTTAATATTTTTAAAAGGAGGGGTGGAAAAATTTCTAGTGGGGTGCAAGCGGCACCGCTGAGCGAGCTTTGGCAGGGGATAGGCGATAGGGTTAAAGACGTGAAGCGAAACTTTGGTGGGGTTGAACACTTTATATTAAGAGGGTGTTAGAGAAATTCTAGGGGGGTTAACCCCTCCCTCTAACCCCCCCCCCAGTAAATCCGCCCTTGAATAATTTTATTGCGTTTGCTTCCGAAAGTGTAAGCCCGGCTTCACTGATTAGAACAATATTATACGTTAAGGTCTGGAGCCGATTATTAATTCATACAATTTTGTTGTATGTTGGGGTTTTTTCAGAAATACAAGCCATTCAAGGGAGTGAAATACTACACAACAGCAGGACGATATCAAATACGAACCTGAGTGGAATATTTGGTAAAAGATATAGACAACTTTGTGAGGGTATCATTTTAAAAATTAACTTGGTCTGACACCCAGATTTATGGCCTGTTTATATGAACTTGTATAAACAAGAAACTCGCTTGGGTGAGATGAACAATTTTTGTGTTCGTATGTTCGTAGGTTTGGTTATATACCATTAGTTGTGCTGAGTGATTATATTAGGGACTGGTCATAATTTATCGGGAGGGGGGGGAGGTGTAATTCAAAATTTTAAGGAATGATATTTTGTGACCCTGCTTTTCCATTACCCGGAAAAATACTGCCCCCCTCCCCCACCCCTCTCTCTCTTATGTGAGAAGAACAAAATGTGAGAAGACATGTATAAAACAATTGATTGAACTAAAACAGCAAACTCCCTCCCCGCCTTCGTAAACTGTTTAATATTTTATGAACTCCCCTTTTTCCTGGCTAAAAAATATGTGTCAACGCTTATAAACTCTCATGCAACTCTTGTTCTCGTTTGATTGCTACACGAGAGTTGAGAAAAACTCGGTCAGAAATGGTGACAGAAAAAAGGTTTTGGGAGTCGATTCAACCATAGTTAATAGAAGAGTGAGTTTCCCAGTTAACGGGATCATATAAACAGGCCTTTTAAATTCCAACCTGAATATCAATGATGGTATATGATTAGTAAATTATACGTAAGGAATTTCTAAACACTCTATATACGAAAATCTGTGAACAGTATTTATCTCGTAGATTAAATTTATCATTTTATCTCTCTATTCATACTAATAATTAGCGATGTATAAAAAATGTGCAATTGCATTTTTGGGGGACGTCCTGTACATGTCTTGGTATTAACCCCAAGTGCTTATGGTGAATATTCACCGATAGCACTTTGCCCTTGGCGAATGATTGTTAATAATGAAATAACAACAATCTTCACCAGTACATATATGTGCATTGCTCAGACTGCTTAAATATACAGTTCCTTTCTCTTCGCTTTGTTGTGGGATTTGAGTGTAGCAAGAATACCATTTCAATAGTTTCTTTATGCATGACCATACATAAAATATCAGAGCTCTTGTATATTACAGCTTCGTCTGAACACATTTTCCCTCGATATTTTGTTTGCAGGGGCAGGGGCTTCGGTGGCGCAAGCGCCTTACCCCTCTGAGAACGTCGGGTCGGTTTTCGCTATGGACTCACGTGAAAGGAGTCCGTACAACTCTCTGCCGAAAGTCGTGAGTTTTCTCCGGGTGCTCCGGTTTCCTCCCTCAGGGAAAGTTGACAGGGTGGGTTACACAATTGTGTAAAGGTAATTAGTCTATAGATTAAGTAGGTAATACGTAAGCAAAATGCAGTAATTAATACTTGATGTAATCGGTTACTGAAATTAAGCCGATTATAAATATAATTTATATTATTATAAGTAATTTTAAGGCTTGCCGAGACTATACCTCTTGAGGACGCCTAAAATTTTGCGTTTACACGACAAAAATCAGGAGTGCCGTGCCCAAAAAAGTGGGTCCGCGTGCCAAAATTTAAGCGCGTCGTGCCCAAAATGGGAGAGTATAATTATTTACCGAACGCGTTAACGCTATTGAAATTAACGGGTAGTTAGCATTTTTTGTTGACTGTTTTGTTTCGAAATGCCACCTGCTTAACTAGTAGCTAAATGCTAAACTGCTCCATGCTTACAGCTCTGTGTAGAAATATAGCTTAACTGACTGTCAAAGTTTAAATTCTGACTGCATGGAGTCCAGAATTTATGGTGCTAGCTCAGTCGTGAGCTGGTTACATCAGCACAGTTTCATGCCTGTTGGCGTTCAATGTTGGACCGCACTGACAATTTTACTTGCGGGCGTGCTAGCTAATGTTTACTTGGGTTTGTACATGAGCGAGAAATGTAGAAAATCTTTGGATGGAATACGCGTTTTGATATGTAATCAAGTATTTGCCAATCTATTGGGACTATTCTCGCACGCGTTCCTACCAACACATAACGAACGCCTGCGAGAATCGGGAACAAGACTGGACTACCTATGCAAAATCATGCCTTCGCTTGGCTTTCTCGGTGTTGCCGTGTCGCTTTCCAACTTAGCGTGTATATGCGTCGCATACTACTATAACAAGAAGAACCGTGTTGTGCTATCTCGGCGTAGCGCTTGTCTAATTGTGTTAAATTTATGGTTCATCGCAATACTCCTAACCACTCCCTTGACGATTTCATTGGACAGCCTTGAAATTACATTCAACAAAACCAGTGCGAAAATGTGTGCGATCGTTTGGCAAAATCAACACTACGAAGAAATGTACATGGATTATGTGTTTACTTTTAAGTTCCTCATACCGTTATTAGTTATTTTCACAATATGCCTAAAAATTGAACTATTGTCCTTACAGTCACGAAAAATCCTTTCCCGGTTCCCTAACCTTCCAGCTCTTCTCGTTGATATTCTCGCAGTTACCTGTTTATTCCTTCTTGTTTACTTCTACCCGCTTCACAACGCTTCTCGCGAAAAGCCCTCGGTCTTTGTCAAAGTGTTTGGGTCCGCTACGACGTTTACCGTTATCCGCATATTCGAGCTGATCGGCCTTACAAATTGCAGTATCGTGCCTGTGGTTTTGAAGTCGTGTGTCGACGAGTATGCTAAAGTCAGCGACGTCCAAAAGAAAACTCGGGATTATGTGGCGGTCTTGAGCAAAGATGAAAGCGAATGTACCCTTGCCTTGCCTTCGGCTATTGTCAATGTTGTCACCTATGATGTGCTGACTGAGAATATGGTCGCTGATGAATTGAAATCCAGCCCTAAGACAGAGGGTGTGAAGGTCTTAATTACTCTTTAAATTAACTTGTGATAAAAGCGTTGGGGTGCTTAAATTACACGTGGGAGGGGCTGGTGTGGTTTAGGGACCATATTTTTGCTCATAGAGTCTCAAAACCGCGCATGTATTCTTTTAAAATGCTTATGTAACGAAATTTCACACCATTTTATTAAGATAATTCAAAATTATATTTTGCCAATTAATGATCGCAAAAAAACTATGTGAAGAACATTTAAACGGGTAGTACAGTTTTCCAAGCCTATCCCGAGTTATATTAATAATAGTCAAAAACCGCAAATTAAAATTGTACAAAAAGGCCACAAAATACTGTTTTTTTAGAAGGTTTAACCTTATGTAACTTGATCTAACAGCTGTTTAAATGTCCTGTATTTAGGTTTTTGCGATCTTCCTAACTTGGTAAAAGTGAACTTTGAAATTTCACTTCTTTATAAGATTTATCAAATTTCACTTTTTTAATAGGTAAATGGTAAGAAAAACAAAATTTTGTGGCAACTAGGAGCTAATCTCAGGGTTCGTAGCGGTCTTTGAAATCCTTGAAATTCTTTAAATTTGAGTGCAGCTCTTTAAGGTCTTTGAAAAGTCTTTGCATTGTGTGAAAGAGCGAAGAAAGTCTTTAAAAGTCTTTAAATTTTTTAGTGAGTATTTGATTATACGATTTCCTATGATTTCCTAGCTAATAAAATAGATCGATTGAAGCAAGATTTTCACTAATATCGACGAAAAGGCGCATTTTAGGATGTGATTTGTTGCTCTCAAATGTCTTTGAAAAGTCTTTGAAAATAGGCAGCAAAAATCTTTGAAAGTCTTCGTTTTTTTTGGTCTTGGAGACTACGAACCCTGTAATCTGCAATGCCCCTATATCAGTGGCGTGCTGGCAGGGGGGGCCGGGGGGCCATGCCCCCCCCCCAGCTGGCAATTTTTGGGGGGCGCAAAAATGAAAAGGGGGCGCCGATCCCGCGCCGAATTTTGAAAATGCAGACTATTTTGTTCAACCGTATTTGCTACCTCACGACTCACACGAAATCACTCGTTCATATAGAAACATGATCAGTGATCACACGCAATGTCTCATTACCTGAATATTGATCAGCCTTCGAAGCGATCATGGGAATTATGCCCTTTTTTGCTGGTATTATACCCTTATATTATGCCCTTTATTATGCTTCACGAATCACGAGAGCGGCGCAAATTAGATAGTTGAAGTATGATAATGTAAAGTTGTGTACGCAATTTAATTGTTTGCGCAAGA